TCTCACCTACATCGTCCACAAGGGACGACTCGGGGACTCAACTCCTACCTCGGGCAGCTCACCTTTCCCCCTATGCCCAGGGGAAAGGTATCAAGCCGTTTGACAGCTGATGCAGGCTGTCAAAACGGCTTTTACGCAGAAACAGGCGGGAGCAGCAAACAGCTGCGTCCAGCGAAGGCGCCTGCCACCGGAAGTCTCAGATGCTTGACATCTGACTCATATTTATGACAGTTGCAGTCATGTGATGGGGTCATGTGATCACCTCTTCTGACTAGCACAGCGTTTCTCAACCTTGACAATTTTAAGGCATGTGGACTTCAACTCCCAGAATTCCACAGCCAGCACTAGCAAAGACAATGGAGAAGCCAACTTTACTTAACAGTGTTACTAATCTCCATCTCAATCAGAATATAGCTAGAAGGGATCTTGGAGGTCTTTTAGTCCAACCCCCCCATTTCAGACAAATGGCTGTCCAGTCTCTTCTTAAAAACCTCCAGCAATGGAGCACCTACAACTTCTGGAGGCAAGCTGTTCCACTGGTTAATTGTCCTCACTGTTAGGAAGTTTCTCATTATTATTTCTAACTTAACTCCAGTGATTCACTTAACAACAGTGGCAGAAGGGTTGTAAAATGGGGGCAAAACTCACTTTACAAATGTCTCATTTACTAATTTTACTAATTATTTTTTGGTTCAATTGTGGTCGTAAGGCGAGGACCACCAGTAGCGTCATTCTAGAATTATTCACAAACAAGGCCGCTGAATTAAGCTACTCGCAACTATTGCTCTTTGAACTTAAATGGTAATTAAGTGGCTGGTAGATGCACATCAGACAGTGACTTCCCATCTGGAAATTCTGCTAGGATCAGCCCCCTGTGAAATACGAACTAGAGAAAAGTTTTTCAAACTTTGCAACTTTAAGATGTGTGGACTTCAACTCCCAGAATTCCCCAGCCAGCAATGTGTTAGCAATTGTGTATGTATCATTTAGGATAAAAAATTCATCTATAAATCATCCTAGCTCCCATTATTGGCTGATTCTAGGATATAGGTAATCCTCAACTTTCAACCATTCATCTAGCAATCATTCAAAGTTACCGAACAGCACCGAAAAAAGTAACTTATAACTGGTTGCTTATGACTGTTGCAGCATCCCCATGGTCATGTGATTAAAATCTGGGAACTTGGCAACTGGTGTGCATTTACAGCAGGGGTCCCCAACCTGTGTGCCGTGGCCCGGTAGTGGATTTTGTATAGTGGATTATAATAATAATAATAAATAATAATAAATTTAATTTATATGCCGCCCTTCTCCCAACGGGACTCAGGGCGGCGCACAACATATTTAAAACAAAACATAAATACATTCCCCCCCGATAAAACCGAATTAAATCAAATTTTAAAGTTGTGTCTCTGTCAAATTGTTAAAAGATAAACCCCAAATAAAATCCTCCCTAGGTCA